ATAATTAAAAAAAAAAAAAACACAACCACACGTAAGAAATACTAAAAGTACAATTAAACTTCTTTGCCTCTAGCTAATCCGAACTAGTGCGGTAAACGAATCGAACCGAACCGAATCGAACCGAATCGAGCTTAAGCTGTTCGAGCTCGTGTTCGTTTGTTCGTGTTCATTCGTTTATTTTTCGAGCAAAAAATCGTGTTCGAGTTCGTTCGTTTAATTGTTCGTCAAAGTTCGAGTTCGTTCGTGTTCGAATAATTGAATACATAAACTTTTTAAGTATGTTTGATTAACTCGAAATTTGTTTGTTCGAACTCAAAAAATAAAAAAATAAAATAACAATATTTTTATATTTTAGATTTTTTATTAAAAATATTTTGTAAATATATACAAAAATAAATAAAATTATATTAAATTTTAGATTTTTTATTAAAAATATTATATAAATATATAAAAAATAAAATAAAACTACATTAAATTAATGTTCGCTAACATAAAAGAATGTTCACGAACGAGCTCGTGTTTGTTCGGTTATTAAACGAGCCTAATTTTTATGTTCGCACTCGGCTCGATTAATAAACGAACGAGCTTTTGTCGAGCACGAACGAGCTCGAACGAGCTTTTGCAAAAATCTAATAAATCAAAGTATTTTGGACCGGGTTCGAAACTCGCAAACTTTCGGTTCGTTTACAGCTCTAATCCAAACCACCTTTTTAGAATATGGAATTTTCTACGTGTTAACAAAACTGTTTAATTTGTACTAGTACAACACCCATGTATTACACAGGTAAAAATTTATTCTGAAATTTAAAATTAATGAGAAAAATTATTTTAAATTTCATTTACTTTTTTACACAAAAAAAATATATATTAATATAGTTTAAAATGACACTTGTTACTTTTGCGACTTATATATGTTATATTATAGTAATTTTTACAAGTTATATCATATAACTACTTGAAATATAAATATATTGATTGATAATAATTTATTTTTCTAATTAATATTAAAATTATTATTGTTATAAAGATAAATATAATTTTTTTTATATACATATAAAATATGGATGTTTCGAAGTTAATCAAGAGATGATTAATTTGATATATTATATATGTAAAACTGATAAAAGTACAAAAGTTATTAGCTTTTAAAATACACTAGTACAATATATACCCGTGTACTACATGGGTACTTGGTAAATAAATTATTTTAAAACTTTAATAATAATAATAACAACAACAACAATTGCTTAAAACTAAATATATATTTTTATTAGGCTAATTTGAGATTTTCATGGAAATTAATGAGTCGGTTGAGAGCTTCCAAAAGAAATAAAGGTTACAGTAGTCAATCAATATCATTACCAAATGTTCTAATACAACTTAAGGGTTATTTTAGTCAAACTATTATGGAATTACCAAGTTAGTTTTCAATATCTTTGGAATGTCCGAACTTAAAATTATTAATGTAGAATAGTATTATTATTTTATTCAAACCAAACTACTAATCATATTTTTTCGCCATATAGGATTCCGAAACGTGCGAGGTTGCCACTTAGGCTCAGCGCATTCTGCAATTATATAAGGGGGGATTAACTTTATTTATTTTTTTCTTAAAAAAGTAGTCATTTAATAAGCTCTTATCAACAAAAAAAGTATTCATTTATAAGCTCTCATCAACAATAATACTATGCAATGTGGTGCAAAAGTTCAATTTAAATCAATTTTTCAATCAAAAAACTTATTTTTTCATCGATTATGAATGTTGAACTTAAACTATATATACATAAAATCTTTTTTTTTTTGTTTATTTTGTTTAAAGTTCGAGGGTGATACGGATCCCAAGTTCTTAAAAACTTGATGGTACACATATCTATATTTATATTTGTAGTAAATACATTTTTATATGAAATGAGTGTTTCGACTTAAACTACAAGCTCATTATTTAACGTTTAAATCGGGCCCCCCTAAGTGTAATTTCTAAATTCGTCACTGATTGCATCCCATGATGTATTTCTGAATTGTTTTGGTGTTGATAGTTCAACATTTTCCCACGAGACCCCATATCCATATCAGACAACTCTTTTTCATCCAACATGGCAGCATATGCCCTAGTTCATTTACACAAACTGGACCATACGCTAGTTCATTTTCTATCAAATCGTGGAGGTGTCGTACATGTAAACAAACAAGTCCCAATTAGGATTTAGTGTTTTGAATGTGATATCTTTTACCTCGGACAATGCAAAGAAATTGTTGATTGTTCGAAGTTTTGCGAGATTGATGAATATACGTTTTTACTTTTTCAGTTATGCGAAGCCTATGCGAGTAATCGCATACATTTCTCACTTCTTCGTTGATTATGCGATTCTCATATCATATCAACGCCACACTTCAAAATAGTTCAACAAATCGAACGTCCGAAATTCATTTCAATTTTGTTTGGTTGTGACTTTGGTTTGTGTAGATTGCTATCTCAATAGAAAGAATCTGTTACATTGTTCTTATTATACAAGCATGCTGAGCGTGAGAAACGTCCATGTAAGTGGAGGAGGTTTATTAAGCTAGCGTGAGAAGATCCTTCATCTTTGTTGCTACTATACATATAGTTGGTATATCTCCTTCATCATTGTTGCTACTATACATATAGTTGGTATATCTAAACTGATGTGAACGTTTATTGTTTAATTTAAGCACTCATTTATATTTTATATGCATCTCATAATAACTTTATATCTGGTCGTTATTCACTGTTTCTAGTGGTGGTTGGCATTTGTAGTAATAAAAAATCATGCATGACAGCTGAAGAATTAATTGGACTTATGCCACTTTATGTTTATAATAAGAATCATAGTAAAGTGTTGCTTCAAGAGTTTTTTATAGTTCTTTGTTGGCAGGAGACTGAAGGATGCTAGTAGTATGCTGTTGACCCTGCTTTTTCATTTTCTTTTCAACTATTTTTGGTGAATGATGTTGTAGAATGTTGAGCTATGAGCACGTCCTGTATAAAGTCGAGGCATCGTATAATAGATACTCTACAAAATCGCTTAGGCTGATTTTTACAAACTTGCAAATGCTACTCCATAGTTTTTTTACAAGGAATAGTGTATACATACTAAATTTAAAAATGAGACACCAGACATAGCAAACAATCAGCACAGTATCCTAGTCCAGCAAAATAGAAAAACAAAATTTATACACAAGATTCACACATAACACCAATTAATAAGCCATATAATTGAATGCAAAGGTACATGACGACTCGAAGCAAACATCGGAAATTTTTGGCCCAGTAGGCAATATAATAAACTGATTTTGTGATCATAATATACTTTCAAAGCCAGCCATACCTGTGCATAGGAAATTGGTAACCATACTAATAATGTAGGTCAATATCAAGGAGCCTTCATATACAAAGGACATTAAAAAACAAACTAAAAGGATAAACAGGGTTAATGTTAAGATACTACCCAATTGTACGGACCATCACAAAATAAACCAGAATTCCTGCACATAGTAACAAAAGCTTGGAAACTGGCAAACCATAAACACAAAGCAAAAATAAACTATAGATATAGAAAAAATCAGAAGGCAGCAACCTGCGTGCACATCCTCAAAGTCAATGGACCTGTGACTTCATGACCTGCAGAAGAAGCTTTGCTTGTTCAACCTTCACCTTAAAATGCCTCACATACACCTCCATCTCTTCAATCTCGAGCTTCTTCAATGCTTCTTCGTCTTCCATAATATTATTGGTGTCCGCACCGCTGCCATTGGCTTTTTCGACCACATTTTCTTTCTCAGCCCCACTGCCATTGGCTTTTTCGACCCCGTTGTCTTTCTCAGCCCCCCATACTTTCTCGGACAGATCGTAGGCTTCCTGCTCTTGTTGGCTCGTAAAGGTTCTTCCTTTACCTTCCTCCTCCTTCCTCTTGTTGTTTGTGTACTTTTTTTTCATCCTAAACATCTTATCCCTCAGCTGCTTCTTCGTCACGTCAATGTGCAAATTTTTCTTGATGAACTCAAAAAATGCGTCAAAATTACCATAGGGGTCGAATTTCTTCTCGGCCCTAAACTGCATAATTCCGTTGAGGACGGCAATCTCGTCCGCGTCGCTCCATATCCTCTGGAACATTTTTTTCTTATCGGATGCCTCGGGTTCAGCCTTCTTGCTGTTCTTCTGCTTCTTCGTGACAGTAGGCTCCGTCCCCTTAACCTCCTCGACGACTCTTTTTCTTGTAGATCTGGCCGGTGAAGCGGAGGCGGCGGCGGCCTTGTCCTTGCCTGTGGCTGTGGTATGTTTTCTGGACTTTATGTCGGATCCAGAATCCTCGTCGGGTGGGGCGGGCTTTGTGGCAGAAGGTGTTTGGGGTTTCCTGGCGGAAGCCGGCGCTGCGGAAGACTTCCAGATCGATTCGGGCTCAGATTCGATTTCCTCAGACGAGGAATTGTCGTCAGAAGCGATTTCGACGGGCTCACGGGCTTTTGACATTTTCCGCAAGTTGTGGATGACATCTCCTGCTAGGTCCTGTTAATAATCGAAGATATATGAGTGTGCAGAGAGTGAATCGATATTCCCTTAAACTCTATCCTCGGTAGAGTATGTAGACAGGGGAGTAACTAAGTCCTAGTAATAATAACAATCAACTTAACAAATGCAAGTGTTATACCCTGAAGTGAGGTTGTGGTGTATATATATAAGGGAAAGAGTTGTTCATTGAATAGTTTGGCATTGAAAATTGTAAGCAACTTCGACAAACTTTATTTCTGAACAAGTATTTACAAATACAATCATATAGGAGTTAACAAAACCAGTATAGCAAGGAAGGATAATTTTATAGACTGATATTATAAAATCACATCACAGGCACCTTATAAACTTCAAATTTCTAGAGCCCTAAACACACTAAATATCTGTACAAAACATTCATACTCCAAACATTTGGCATATAACGGCAGTAACAACATGTGGTATCAAGACTTACAGCATCATCAGCACATCCAGTCTGATCATATACAGCACGTTTCTCCTCATCACCAAGAACAGAGATGACCTTTTGTAGCAGCTGGAATTTTTCCTTAGCTTCCTATACCGTGAAATGAAGTTATCAAATTGCTGAACACAACCAAATATTTTATCTTAGAGAATCAAAAGGAACACACCTATTAACTACAAGAAATTACCTCATCATTGGGATTTTTATCAGGATGCAGGCGCAAAGCCAACTTGTGGTAAGCTTTCTTTATCTCTGCCTGAGAGGCAGTTTTCTCCACCCCAAGAATCTAAGATGCACACGACCAATTAATTACTAACTGTAAAGCAATACTTTGATTACATGCACATGGTCATTTGGGTTATAGTTAACAAAACCTATATCGGGTAGACGGACACTTCAGAGAGAAGTTATACAGTCAAAACCTGTTATACTATACCTTCAATCAAGGGTTTCTGCTTAAACAACTCATTTTAATTACTCTCTTTAAGCTAAAATATACAGCCATATTAAGAATCCATTAGCCAAGCAGCTCAATTTCATCAGATTCGATACATACAAGCAACCAATCTCCTCCGTAACTTTACTCAACAGTCCCATCCAGCAGACCTCAGGTTAAACAAATCATTTTCAACAAACGAAATTACAACACAAACATAAACCAATATGAAAAAAGGAGTAAACAAAACTATCCAAACCACACACCACGCAATTCCTGATGTGAAAGGGGGGAAAAGCAAAAGCCATACCTCATACAAGCTTGTTACGGCTGAGGAAGATGATCCATGGAAAAAATCTCGGTCTTCCTTCATTACAGCTTCTTCTTCATCCTCGATGTGCTCCTTGGAAACCCTATCTCTGCTTCTCTTCCCCATTTCGTAAACCTAATTGTGGAGAGATGAAAAAAAAAAGAAGAAGAGAAATAATAGTAAATGTTATTAGAGTTTTGAGTGAGCTTTGAAAGGGATGCGAATTGGGGGCGATTTATTTTTTCCCGCCACAAGGCGCCTAAATTTTGCGTGTTTTCAGTGCATCTGCCTTCAAGCCCAGTTTAGCATTAGGCCCATGTAAAAAAAGTGTATTTACTTTGTTTCATTCCAAGAGTCGTAAACGAGCATAGTTCGAACCCGATAGTCGGGGCCTCGGCTCATTTATAAAAAATAGCAAACTGAACTTGAGTACTAACGAGCTGGGCTTCTTAGTTTCATTCCAAGAGTTGTAAACGAGCATTGTTTGAACCCGATAGTCGGAGGCTCGATAAGCGGGCGAAGCATTCAACAAGTGTGTTTGCTTCCCATAACTCTAGCTACCATATATCACTTATCACAAATGAAGAATGATTGATATATTATATATATGGTGAATACTGAATATAAATATAAAATATAGTATTATTTTGATTTAGGTGAATCATCAGTTTTTACTAGAGTGATTTTGATTTGGTTAACATGATTTGAAAGGTAAGATTTAAATAAATACGATTTGATAAGTATTTGACAACGTGAAAAAAAAAAATGGAACAAAGAAATAAATTATAAATACGATATTGATAAAAATAACTAGTTCTTGCCCACGAGGCCAGTTAGCTCCCTAACCACCTCATGAATCTCCTCATCCTTCTTCTCGGCAAGCCCTCCTCCACCACGACCAGCCGGACTGCCGCCGCCAGAACCTCCCCGCGCAGCCTCCCATCGGCCTCCCGGAGCACCTCGACTCCGACTCCGACTCCAACTCCGGCATTATCCACCAGCCGAGCGTTGACCGGCTGGTCAAGGTGCATCGGCAAGGCCACCACTGGGACCCCAAACGTCACGCTCTCTATAACCGAGTTCCATCCGCAGTGGCTCATGAACACCCCGACGTTCTTGTGGCAGAGAACCTTGGCATGTGGGGCCCACCCCTGGACAATCTTGTCGCGGCCCGACCGGTGGGTCCTCTCGAGAAACCCTTCAAGAAGAGACCGGACGAGCGCGTGCCCGTTGAGCCCCGAGTCTTTCGGGAACCGGACGACCCATATGAAGTTGACCTCACTGAGCTCGAGCCCGAGGGCGATTTCGTCCATGTCGCGCTTCGATAGGAAGTACTTGCTCCCGAAGGAGACAAACACGGTCGACTTTCTCTCCTTGGAGTCTAGCCAAGACAGGATTTCCGAGCCATGCCGGTCGGATGATTTCTTGTTGGGAAATTCGACGAGCGGGCCCACCGGGACGAACCGTTTCCGGACGAGAGAGCCGACGTAGTCCATGTATGGGCCTTCCATGGCCCGAAAGCCCTTCACCAAGATGAGCCCGCACGACTCCTCAATCCAGAGAAAACCATGTCCCGATGGGTGGGGTGTTTACCGCACTCGCAGAACCGGATCTCGGGGAACGGGTAGGGTAGGTCGCCGGCCAAATTCTTGAAATAGTGGCACATGACGCTAGCCATCGTGCAGGTACTCGTGACGAACTGGACGGCCAGGACGCCGAGGTCCCGGGCGAGGCCCGGGAGCCACGGCTGGAGAAAGTCGTAGATGATGAGGTTGGGTTTGAGGTCTGAGAGGATCTCGGAAAACTCAGAAGTTGTGTCGGGGGAATTCATGGCGGCCTTGAGGCCCGACATGAGGGCCTGGGGGAGCCCGTTGGTGGTGTGGAGAGCGCGCGGAGATCGTGAGTGGCGGGAAGGAGAATGGGGAGGAGTTTGATCGATCGGTCAAGCACTTTGTGCTCGACCGACGTTAGACCTTGAAACGGCCGGTGGAGGTGATTTTGTTGGCAAGCTCGAGGAAGGGGCTGATGTGGCCGTAACCGAAGCCAAGGGAACATGACTACTTTCCTGATTTTCGTCGAGTTCATCATCTTGTTGGCTATGGTTCTTGGATTATAAAGGAGATTAAAAATGGTGGTGAATGAATGATGTTTTTGTGGGGGAATAAGGGAATCTATTAATATATAATAAGGATTAACATAATTCACTTTTAGAAACTTTTTCCCGCCAAATTCATTAATTACATGCTAAATTTAGAATTTTAGGACAATTTTGGATAAGAAATTAATGAGCATCCAGAATTTTAGAAATAAAATGATACAATCAAATTTTTATTCACTTTTCAAAATTTGGTTAAATATTGATCTATGAAATAAAATGATACATCTAGAATTTTATGAATAAACTGATATAATCTCAATTTGCTAATATATAGGCAAAATCTATGGAATAATATAATTCCAGCATGGACATGGCCGTGCATCTCCACTGCTTCTCGTTTGACCTCTTACACCTCAAAGGTATTTACTCTTCCACAAATTAAAAAATATATATATATATATATATATATATTATTTATTTTATGTTTTAGAATTTTTAATACAACGATTAATTAAAATCAAACATTCTACAAATTTATTAGAAAAAATTATCTTTAATCTTTTTTTTTTGGCCGAAACGATATAGGTATTATATATCAAAACGCACAACTGTGCAAAACAAGCAGCCCAAGACTGAATAATACAACCATGAACTAAAAATTGGGAGGACGAATCGAAAGACCGCCTAGAACCTCGCTAGCCACACTAGAATAGAGGACACACTACACACAACTAAAAAACACCAACACGCCAACTACGAACGCTCCCCACAGGAGAATAGAAACGCCCCCCACAGGGGAATCAGTACCGGGGCCAACGGCCCAAACCTAAAAAATAAGACCAAAAACACAACCAAACTCAGGCAAAGAGCCCATACCAAAAATACTTAATTAAACAGACTCAAGCAACAGCAAAACAAATAAAAAACGGGAGCCCTTCCCACAGCAGAAACCACATCGAGCACAACAACGACAAGGTATCGGTCCAGGATCCTGACCCAGAAACTGCAAGAGAACGCCTAACTGAATCAAGAGCCGACGGACCGAACCTTCATCCAGACGGACAACACCTCCGGCGCCGGGGGAAAGATACCAGACCAACATCCCACCTGACCCAGCCCAGCTAGGCCCAGCTCGGCCCAACCCAAGCAACTCAAACCAGCCAATAACCAGCCCGAAGAAGCCCGGCCCAACCAAAAACCAGATCAGCCCAGCCAGCACCCAAGCCCCGTCAAACGATCTCCGGCGTCCGCGACTCCAAAGCTCCACAACCACCCGAACGGAGACCACGGGCCAAGAATCAATACCCACCCTTCAATCGCTGACCACCAAGCACCGAGCGAGGACCAGGAGAGGCCAATTGGCCGGAAACCGAACCCCACCCCAAACCTAATTCGGGAAATTGGGGACGTCGCTCACTCCGAGAGGGTACCGGAAGCCGCCACCGCGGAGATGCCGGAGGAGAGCCAGACATCCGCCACTCAAACCCGGTTCCAGAGGCTAGAGACCGGAGGACGGCACCAACTACTCCCAGGCGAAAAAGCTCCTTCCAGCGGCACCTCTCTTCATTGCGAGCAACCGGGCCCAGAAGAGCCACCGCCGAGCTCTCGACACGCCCTACCGGGGAAGGCGGCTGACAAATTTAGAGAATGAAGAGACGAAAATCGAACGGGGAAGCGACAGGAAGCTACGGAAGAGAGGACTATTATTTGTGTGTTTGTATTCTTATAACTACAAATGGTTATTTTACTCTTTTCCTGATAAATTACCTTAAATAATATTTTCATATCAATATTATTTTACATTATATATATTTATATATATAAAATAACAATGTAAATCAAATGTAATAAGCATTTCTTGCCATTATGTATTAATTACATTCTAATTATAGAAATTTTACACAATTCCTTAAAACAAACCTCGAAACATTCATTGCAATCATTTTTAACTTCCCTCGACAACCAAATTTATTGTTTTAATAAAATATTCCATAATCCTCCATATATATTATTCCCGAATGCGCTGAGCCTACGTGGCTGCTTCTGATGTTTGGGAATCTTACTTGGCAAAGAATCATGCTTCGTAATTAGGTTTGAACAAATAATATTGATATACTAATAATTAATAATCTAGGTTCAGACATTCCATCAAATATTATATAGCTAACTTGGATATTTTAATATCACTTGTACGAATATAATTCTTTAATTCTTTGTAATTTTACATAGTGAGACATTAAGTGACATATATGTAAATAAAAACCTA